GGGCTGGAAGACCTGGCTCACGCTGGCTGTGCAATGCTGAGCAAGCCACTTAACCTCTACTCTACACGCTGTTGTTCAGTCTTGTCTGACACTTTATGACTCCATTTGGGGTTTTCTTGGCAAAGATACTGGAGTGACTTGGCCACGGTAGCTAGCAAGAGTCTGAAGTCAAATTTGAACTCAGATCTTCCCAACTCTAGGCCTGGTGTTCTATCCACTGTACCACCTAGCACTACTCACACCTGCATCAGTGTAAACAGTTTGATGAAGAGGAAAATTATAATAATCCTTTACAAATTCCTACACCAATTGGGGTGACCCAAGGTTCCCGAACATTTTCTACCCTAGGGGAAGCTAGGTGAACCAGTGGTTAGAGTGCTGGATTTGACCTCAGGAAGGTCAATTCCCACCTCAGACCCTTACTAACTGAATGATCCTGAGTAAGTTACTCTCAGTTTCAGTTTCCTCATCTATAAAATGAAGATAGTAATAAAAACTATCTCACAGAATTGTTATGAGGATCAAATGAGATAATTTGTATAAAGTGCTTTGTAAACCTTAACACACATGTTAACTACTATTATTTATAAATTATTATAAATATTATAGTATTTTATATAATATATAATATATTATAAATAAATAGAGATTATGTTATAAAAATTAACTATTATAATTTCCCTCCAAGAAAGGCTTCAAGTATAGTCCTGGCCACAGACAGAGTCAGCTTTCTGAACCTAGTTAAGTGTGTGAAGGCTCTTCAACAGTCAGCTGACCACGCTGTAATAACTTCTCTGATGCTGGCCACCTTTGAAAGAAAAGCATCAAGTAGCCCTCAGTCCTGGGCTGCCACCTTCCACTTCTGTGGTTAGAGAGGCATGATGACAGTTGGGGGGGACAAAGGATACTAAGAAGCACATATCTTTTAGACCCTTTGTACATTTTGATTTGGCTTTGTACTCTGATTGTGAGATCATTTTCCAATGACCAACAAGTATATATGCTACTAGAAAGAACTGAATCCTATCAGTCTTTATATTCTTGCTAAAGGAGCAGGAGGAAGAAGGAAGAAGGAAGGACAATGGAAAGAGTGTTGGGTTTGATACCAAAGTACCTGAGTTTGCAGCCCAGTTCTACCATCTAAAACCCACATGACTTTGGGCAAATCACAATCTCCTTGGGCTTCACTTTTCTCATCTCTAAAATGAAAGAGTTGGACAAAATGGCCTCTAGGGTCCTTCCTAACTTTAATAGTAGGATTTTAAGACATTGTTAAGTGGAAGAATGGCTTATACACTCCCCTTGAAGAGTAAAGGAATTAGAAGAGTCCATTTTATTGTATGCCAAAAGGCAACAAGAAACAGAATTTCATGGCTCATTTGTTCATTTCATACTTCAGTGCTCATTAAAGTAAATTTGCAAAAAATTAAGACCAATTTTAGCTTATGAAACAACTGCTGCAGTAGATTTTATTTTGTTTTTCTTTTTAATAGTATTTTATTTTTTCCCAATTACATGTAAAGACAATTTTAACATTTTTTTTTAAATTTGAGTTCCAAATTTTCTCCCTCCTCTCTAAAACAGTAAGCAATTTGATGTAGTGCAATCATGTAAAACATATTTCCATATTAGTCATGTTCTCAAAGCAGATTTTAGGAAGAACTTGAAAAGAACCTCCAAATTAAATCAACATATACTTTGATACTTGGTGATTTTACTGCAAAGGTAGGAAAAGGTGAAGATGGTGAGAATTACATTATTAAGCACAGATCAGGAAAAGGAATGAGACCAAAAGGTTTTTAGGCAACACAGAAACCTTACACCTATGTATGGTAACTGCTTTCTTTGACAAGAGAATTGTGGAACACTGGAGGAGGGAACACTGAAAAAAATCAAAAAATTGTATTGTTGGTATTTTAAGTAACAGGAAATGACTCTTCAATAGTCAGTTATTTGAGTAAAATCTATCTTATTAGAGCTTCTAGTGGGATGTATGGGGTATTCAGGGAGGACTAGCACCTCTGTGTGAGGGCTTTCGAGCCCTTTTCAGGGCTGCTCATCCCCCTTTGATGTCCACCTGCCACCCAACCTTCACCTGTGGCTCCAAAAAGCTGTGGCATATGCAGTGGACACAACTCAGTAAAACCATCTTAATAGATGGGCTGAACTAGGTTGAGGGTAACTGATAATCCTCAAACCCATCTACCCCAAGCATATAAAGGCTTTCCCTGGGGCAGATGAGAACAATTTGTTCCAATGGTCATGAAGACAGCTGAGGCAGGTGCTGTGGGGCATTTAGAGCTTGGTCAAACACCGAAAATGCCAGTCATCTACTCTATCCTGGGCCATCACCCGTCATCCTGACTTTTGGCTTGCCATTGGACTTGGATGACTCTGGAAGAGAGAGTGAGGCTGATGACTTTGTGTAACTCTTCCTCACTGAAATCCAATTCATGTGCAAGTCAAGACATTGTGATATCTTTGGTGATATCCAAATCACCTGTGATATCATTGGTCCTCTTCAAAAATGAACAACAACAGGGGCAGCTAGGTGGCGCAGTGGATAGAGCACCGGCCCTGAAGTCAGGAGGACCTGAGTTCAAATCCGGTCTCAGACCAAACACTTGACACATACTAGCTGTGTGACCTTGGGGAACTCAACCCCGATTGCCTCACTAAAAAAAAAAAAATGAATAACAATAGCTCCTAGTTAGACCAAAAGTCAAAATTAACATGAAACTAAAAGAAAGAATAAAACCGTTTTAAAAGATCAAGTGTGTCACTGGAATAAATTAATCTCAACCTATTCAAATAAGCTACTAAAACTTAACACTGCACTAAGACTTTTGGAACACCCTGAACAGTCCCTGAGGCTGTTAAAGTACTTTCTATAACACTATGAGAAAGGTTCTAGAAGTATTATTATCATCCGCATTTTTTCAGATGAGAATACTGAGGCTGAGACATGTAAGTAACTTGTACAGCATCACGTAATTAATAAGCATCTCAGAGGAGATTCAAATTCAGGTCTCCCTAACTCAAGTTCCCGTGCTTTGTCCACTATAGAATGCTACTTCTCAGTCAATGGCATTTGAAGACAATGTGAATTTCCTTCTCACAGCTGGATTTAGGCCTGTTTGCCAGGACACAGATGGTTCACCTCCTTTTTGACTGTAGCCATTTCCCCCCATTATGGAATCTGAAATACGACTCTGTTGTATACAGTTGTGTAATGAGATTGCTTCCAACTAAATTGAATTTGCTTTTTTTTTTGGCGAGGCAATGGGGTCAAGCGACTTGCCCAAGGTCACATAGATAAGTGTCAAATGTCTGAGGCCACATTTGAACTCACGTCCTCTTGAATCCAGGACTGGTACTCTATCCAGTGCCCCATCTAGCTGCCCCAAGATGAATTTACTTTTAAATGTTTTAAAAATGTTTCAGTCATAGCTACAGACTTAAGCTATTGCAGTTTAAAGGTATGCAAAGATTGAATAAAGCCCATATACATATCATCTTGAAATAATTTAAGGTGTGATTGTACACTACTTAACAACCAAGACGAACAGGGAAATAGTCACAAGAAAATTAATCACTTGGTCCCCATCAATAGTTGTATTGTGAAGGATAAACTTTTATTATCTTGCGTCAGACCCTATACCTTCCTGGGAATCCTGTACTGTGAAAAAAAAGTTGAGCTTGAACCCATATAGGAAATGTAATCGGGGGCAGCTAGGTGGTACAGTGGATAGAGCACCGGTCCTGGATTCAGGAGGACCTGAGTTCAGATAGGCCTCAGACACTTAACACTTACTAGCTGTGTGACCTTGCGCCAGGCACTTAACCCCATTGCCTAGCAAAAAAAAAAAGGGAAATGTCATCAGGAAATACATAGTTGAGTGTTTAAGAATATTATATGCTGATTGCCAGTGATGACTGACACAAAGAAAGGCTTGTTCAGTCGTGTCTGACTCTTCATGACCCCATTTCGGGCTTTCTTGGCAAAGATACTGGAGTGGTTTGCCATTTCCTTCTCCAGCATGTCTCCATTTTACAGAAGAGGAACTGAGGCAAATAGGGACTAAGTGACTTGCCCAGGGTCACACAGCTAGTCAGTGTCTAAGGCCAAATTTGAACTCAGATCTTCCTGACTCCAGGCCTGGTGCTCTATCCACTGCACCACCCACCTACCCCAAAACCTTAGACAATATTTGTAGTTAACAACAGAATTGTAAGCATAGTCCTAGTGAATCAATTTACTATTAATTGCTTCCAATTTTATGGAAGTTTTAGACTAAGTTCAAGTCTTTTTATTATTATTATTATCTTCCCTTCTTTTTGTTGGGGTTCAAATAAAAGTGGTCTTGGGACAAGAAGCTATCCTATTATTATTTCTTTATATTCAGTGTTTAATTGGCACAGGTTTTTTTTCGTTGAATAAAAATAATAGGTTTGGAAGTTAATTCTTGGTAAGTTCACTATAGGCATCCTCAGTACAACTCCAGTAGCACGCAGAATATCAGAGATGATATGCACCTCATCCTCTTTCCACGTGATTACGGTCTTTTCCGCTAAGTCTCTATGCTTTGAAAACTTTTCATTCCATGGAGCTTGGAGACTATAACCATTTGGGATCTCAACATCCATTAAAAATATTGTTCTTGAGTTTTTGTGAATCAACATTATATCTGGGCAATTATGAGCAATAGTTTGGTCTGTAATAATAAGAATATTAGCAATAGCTATATTTTCTCAAGCATAGCAACTCATGAAATTATCTTGTCTGGGGGTAGTGGCTGGGGTCATCAGAAGGAGCACCCACACTGATCAAATTTTACAAGTTCCTGAGTTTCAAACTAGAATTCTGTCTCGGATGCTTCTACTTCTTCTATCTATCCTGTGGGACTTAGTTCAATATCTATAGCTATTACCCATATTCACTTGAGGCTGTTTATATTAACCCTATATTTTTTTGGTGGGGGTGGGGGGTGATTTTACAGTTACTCAAAGCCATCCCAGTGGGAGTTGGTCAGATCTACGGTTGTGATAATCCTTGGACCGGCGGCATTTTCCTAGTTGCCATTCTCTTCTCCTCCCCGCTCATGGGCTTGCATGCAGCGATTGGATCGACAGTGGGGCTTATAGCAGGTATGCCCATGTCCCTAGGAGGGGTGGGTCACTTGAATGAAGTAAGTGATGTGTGGGGCTCTCATCAAGCTTCTGCTAATCCAGCTCCTTTCAGTACACTGGGCCCCTTCTTGAAATGTTCACTAACTCCATTTCTCTTGTGTGATAGGGCTGACCCTTTCAGCTTCATTTGATGATATCTACGTTGGATTATGGGGCTTCAACAGCTCTCTGGCCTGCATGGCAATAGGAGGGATGTTCATGGCTCTCACTTGGCAAACTCATCTCCTATCTCTTGCCTGTGGTATGTATTCCATGAAGCTCCAGGGCTGGGTTAATAACTATGGGTTGAAAAGGAAAAAAAAAAAAAAACACTGACCTAGAAGCATCAGATTTAGGACAGATGCACTTTTAACATTTTTAGTGTCATTGACCCCTTTGGCAGTCTGGTGAAGTCTATAGACACTTCAGGGTAATATTTTTTAATGCATAAAATAAGATATGCATGATTACAAAGGAAACTGGTTATACTGAAATCATTATCAAAATATATCTAAAAAAAAAAAAAAACTTCATGGGTCCCAGGTTCAGAACTCCTGACTTAGGGTGATAGGTTTAGAGCAAGAAGGGCCTTTGGAGGTCATCTAGCCTAACCTGCTCATTCTACAGATAAGGAAACTGAGGACTAGAGCTAGAAGGAACCTCAGATCATACTAAGTCACCCCTAACTTTAGAGAAGAGGAAAATGAGGACCAGAAGTTAAATGGTTTCTTCAGGGTCACAGAAGAACTAAAGAGCAGATGGGTAACTTGACCCCAGTGGTTTTAATGCAAAATCCAGGACTCTTTTCATGATACCACACTGTCTAAGTGTCAGGATAGCTGGGTTCCTGTTCTATCTCATCCACTAACTTGAGTGTGGCCTTAATGTCAAGAAACAGTTGAAGGCAGAAAGGAGCCTGTCTCTCAAAGCTATACTTCATATACTAAACTATACTTAGATGTACTGTATAAGGTAGACTGGCCCTGCCTTATAAATAGGGAAGGACCTGAGAGGGCCCCTCTTTGACACAAAAAGGAACTGGAAAGTAGACAAAAAGTGCACAAGGATGGATGGATGGATGTACGTATATACATATATACACATACATATGCATGCACATGTATATGTACATATATGTGTATGTGTGTGTGCGTATACATAACATATAATAGCATTCCCTTTAGCTGGCCATGCAGCAGGGCAAGGCCCAGGGTTTATTGGGATGAAATACGGAGCTACTTAGCTCAGGAAGCAGCACTGGCCAATTAGGGCTAGTATTCTCCTACACTCTGTGACTCAACAATTTTATATCCTATACATTTATTTGTTCTATCAACTTTGTTCTGGCAGCTGGCAAAGTCATTTTGAAAAATTCAACCTCTGTTTTAGTTGCCCTAAGTGAAATAGCAGGAGGTGGGGGGTGAAACAGGGAGACAGAGGCAGAATCCATGAAGAATTCAGAAGATAGGGTATAGGTGAGCTTGGGGAGAGGGGAGGTCTGGAATATCTCTAAGACATTGTCTGATGGCATGACTCTGTTTCTCTAAACAGAAGGGGCTGAATAAATAAAACCAAAAGCATCCCAAATGGGTCAAGGGTGTGACTCTTTCTGCCTAGGATCTTTATGCACTGAGAAAATCACTTGACCTATATTTCTTCCTCTGTCAAATGAGAATAATCATACCTACCTACCATCTACTCACCCGGTTGTTTTGAATATAATAAGAGATCATAATGAGGAAACAATTTAAACATACTAAGCCCTATTCAGATCTAAGCTGCAATTATTGTTGTTATTGTTACTCAGGGAAAAATGAATATAAGTTGTCCTTCAGTCTAGTATTCTTGACACTCAGGATATGTGTGACTTAACTTCCTGGACCCCAGTTTCCTCAGCCATAAAATGATCTAGATTATTGTCGTCATCAGGAGGATGTTTCAGGCCAGAGAAATCAACAGCAAATTCCTGTAAGCTAAATCCTAAACCCACCTCGTTAAATGCATTAGCTGATTAGGCTGCAAACTTTGGGGAATGCATGAATTGTCTAATCAAAACTGTGTTAGGGTTGAGGGGGACCTTGTTAACTCATTTTTGGGTGAAGTCCATTGCTCAAAGTCACATAGCTCCTTAGTGGTTCAGCTGGGCCTTGAACTTGTCTCTCCTGCTTTCTCTGCCAGTGTTCTTTCTGGTACACCATGCTGCCTCCTTCCACGTAGGCGAACTCTGGCTCCAGGACATTAGAACATTAACTGAGGGTCTAAAAAAGCTAACTTTTTCTCACATCCAGGGAGTGGTTTATTCTCCCATAGACACTATTTGTTCATTTTGGAATAATAATAGAAGCTGACTTATCTCTTTAGCTCATCATGGCATAGAGGTGACCCTGGGGTCTTGAGGGTCTCTAAAAGTGAGGCACAAACTCTGGAACATCCTGCCATGGTGCAAAGGTTTAGAAAACGGTCTCAGTGATAGTCTATCTCATTTCTGAGGACCAACCTAGCTAAGTACCAAGAAGTTCATCACTAGGAATCTGGTTATTGGGTGAGGAACTCTTTAGCCATTGTTATTTGTTTTAGTCATGTCTGACTCTTCATAACCCCATTTGGGGTTTTCTTGGTGGAAATACTGGAGTGGTTGGCCATTTCCTTCTCCAGCTCATTTTACAGATGAGGAAACTGAAGCAAACAGACTCAAGTGACTTGCCCAGGGTCACACAGCTAGTAAGTGTCTGAGGCCAGATTTGAACTCACTGTGATGAGTCTTCCCGACTCCAGGCACAGCACTCTCTCCACTGTGCCACCTACCTGCTCTCTTTATGAGAATGAGAATCCATAAAACAAATGAAAATCTTAAATGGCTCTCCTCATTCCTGGGCAGCCCATACCCTTCCTACTTCTCACTGATGGTGGCAGACTGGTGAAAAAGGGAGAACACGTGAAAAATAGCAGCCATATCCTATCAACATAAACTTCATTGTTGATATTCTAAATGTGAGTTCTTCATCCAGTGACCAGCAAGTTGACATACTACTAAAGGAACTCAATTATGTCAATCTTGAAGGGAATATACCAAATGCTTGGAAAAATCTCAGGTGTTATTAGTTCCCCAAAAAAGCCACCAAGAAAAAAATTAGTAACTACTCATTCATATGCCAATTTTCCCATCTCTATAAAATCTTTATGAGAATAATATACATTTATGTTGTATACATATATCTCAAGGATATCATTAATCAAGCTACGCAAAGGGAACACAGTTCACAAATCATATTCCAAAACAAGTCACATGTTTACAGCCACCCAATCAATAAAAGGTGTGGAGAATGCCATATCCTAGGGTACTGATTGGCTTATTGGCTGTAGAAATAGCATTTGATCCTGCAGAGTGTCACTTCAAAGGTTAACCTCCAACAAGGCGTTCCCCCCCCCATAAGAGTTAAACTCGTAAGAGAGTCCATTAGAAACAGTGTTGATGACCTTCTGATAAATTAATTTCAAGTAAGCCATAGAATAAGGAGACTGGTGCTCATCAAAGGTGTTTGCCCCCATCTTGGAGGATTTGCAACGCAAAATTCAAATGAAAGAGGGATTTCCTATAGATAGTAAAGTGCCCCTAATGCTCTTGCTTGCAAATGACATGAATGTTGCATCAAACCCTGGACCATGAAACAGCTTCCAAAATGAAATCTGTAATCACTTCAGAGTTTGGTCTCACTCTCCACATAGAAAAAAAACAAATGGATGAAGAATGCCTGTTTTCAATACCATGAGGTACATTCTGGATGGACAGACCATTGAGCTAGTCCATTGCTGCACAGATCTGGGAATAGGCACTATACACTGATAACAAATGGACCCAGAATTGAACAGGAGGAAGAAAGGAGACTGGATTACATATGTAGAAACTTCATCGTCCCTTTAATGAAACCAAGTTGCTGTCTGAAACACAGGCACATCTTTAAAACAAAAACAAAACTAGTGTTCTCTTGGTCATACTATATGACTACCCATCTTGAAATGTCAGTCTCAAGAATAAAAGTTACAGGTCACCCACAGGACAATTACGAGATGCTTGATAGATGTGAATAGTCTATAGCATACTACCAATGAGTAACTGTGCACCTCAAACAAAGTGAAATATATCATCAAAGAGAAAAGAAGAGAATTGGGCCAATAACATAGAAAGAACAAGGATTGGATAGCCCATTTATGTACTTATCCATGTCCTCCTATAAATCGTCCACAGAGGGTCCACCTAGAATGTTTGTGGGTAAGAGTTGGGTAGGATCAGATCAGTGATGATCTGCACTGTTGGAGAGGGGAACCCACACTAGGGAGATGCCAACATTCAAGTTCAGGTTTGTAGCATGTTATGTACATGATTTCAGTAGACGTTCACAACAACCTTGTGAGGTAGGCACCACAGATGGCGCTATCCCCAATTTACAAAGGAGTGAAACCTGAGGCTCAGTTTTTGATTTTCTTATGATCACACAGCTTGTATCGGAGGAAGGCTTGAATCCAAGTATCTCATAATTCCAAGTTGGGCGTTCTTTCTATTGCCTCTCCTGGAATATGTAATTAGCTCCTAAAATAATGCATATGAAAGGATTTAGGTTAATGTACCAAGTAACAAATTAGGTATGAATGAATAAATAAGTATTTAATAACTTATTACATGCCAATCACAATGCTAAAAGCTGGGGATAAAAATAGGAAAGGTGATTTAGTCCCCGATCTAAAGGAGTTCTTACTCTAATTGGGGAAGATAATACAGAAAGGATAACCAGTAAGACTATACTAAGGTAAATGAGAATATGAAATGTTTCAATTACTCATACTTCCTGTCCTCAGGAAACCTACAATTCAGAGGGGAGAGTATGTAGATAAGGGAAGCATTAACTAAATAGAATCACAGAATCTCAGAGTTGGAAAGAACCCCAGAGGTCATCTACTGCAACTTGTACCTCAACGAGAATCCAGCCCCCTTTCCATTGGGTTTTACTTGCATGTAGTTCCTGTCCTTAAGAAACCTGTAAGATGGGGGTGGGGTGGGGGAACTTCAGAAGGGAAAGAAGGGGAAAAGACCTGCTTGGACAAATGAAGGAATAAGTAGATTGTCTAAACATCTCTCCCCTGACATAACATTCCAATATCTCATTATGACATTGCATAAATCTTGGATTCTCCATTGGCGCTTTGTGCCTGGGTCAGACACTATTTTCCTTCCATTGCTCTTGGGTGATGTGGGTCTGCCCTGTT